AGTGAACTTGTGCTACCAAGAGCTTATGCAAAGCAGGGCGTTGCACGGGAGAGTCCTCGGCTTTCTGCCAGAGCATTGCTGAAAGCAAAGTTAGCAGAAATATTCCCCGAGTTTAACGTTACCTGGGCTGATGTTTCTCTTCCTGCCCTGCACTGGTTATTTCTCCCACTTAACATGCCACATGCACGTTCTTTTTTTCCCATCATTACTGCTATATAGTCAGATAGCTTTTGGCTTTCAGTCTCTCACTTTGTCTGTTGCAGAACCCTTAATAATGGTTATTTCCTGGTAGTGAATGCTTGAGTTGGTCTGGGGGGACCTGTTTGTAGCATAGTTTTCTATAATTACCCAAAATTTACACAGCAATTCCAGGCCTATTATATGGGGCATAGTATGTAATTACAGACATAACATATTAGGTTCTAATAACAGCAAATATATCATTACACAAATCATTCATGTAACTGTGCTGATATTTTTATATGGAATAAGTGAATACAATTACTAATAATTACAATGCACGTATTGCAGCTGCAGCGCAACCAGTGCCACTGTGACATATCGCAGGGCAGAGGCGGGAGTAAGGAAGCTCCCTGTGAGATACTTCAGAGCCTGTGAAACATTACTGCCAAAAATCAAGGTGGTTCCTTTAGTTGGGGGTGTGTGTGTGTGTGTGTGTGTCTATACATGCATATGTGAATCTATATGACAATGGTATTCATTGGAAGAGCCATCTGGGGAGGGATCCCCATGCTCTAGCTTTGACAGCTGGTCTCCTGTGGGGAGCGACGCTCCTCCCGATGCTGATTCGGACCTGGGTTGCCCTGTGGGATGAAGGGCAGGGTCCTAGCTCTCACTGTCGTCTGTGTAGTAAGACTAGGTCCCACCACGAGCACTTCGAGTTGGGTGGAGTGAGCATGCTGCACTGCCTCTTGCTCTCCTTTTATTATTCCCTCCTGCCTTCCCTTGCCTGCCCACAGGCATTTTGCTGCTGAGAAGTGTCAGGAAAGAGCTGACTACTTGCATCTGCTCTCACACATCTCCAAAAGGTTTGGTCCTCCAGGCCCCTGAACTGTAGAAGAAAGGAATAAATCATGTAAATGTGGCAGCTGGCAGAGTTGGGCTGGCAGTTCACCCAGGTGAGCTGGGCAAACCATGTGTCCTACCTTCTTGTTTGGAAGAGCTGTGTTTGCCCCAATATATATTTTTTAAAAGTGTTTTAAGGCACTTTAAACCTTCCCTGAAAGGTGACCACTGATCCCT